TGAGTTTTAATACTGCTTGCGAACCTATATTATGATATATTTAATGATGTTAAATGTTATTTACATTTTTTGTTTAAATTCACTTACATTCACAAAATACATTAATACAAATTTTTAATAATATATAAAACAGGATCTCCATTTCCAGCCATCTCCAAAAGAAGCTCCATATTTTTCAATCCAATCCGCTGCATGTTATTCCTTATTTAAGATAATGTTTTATTTTGTCGCCCCATTGACGTTCAGTCTTTCTATGTAGTAGATACCATAATTCTAAGGGTTACATAAAGTATGTCTCTTATAATCTGTTTTGCATACTTCTGATGCATTTTAGAAGTTCTCTGTACAATTATCTATACATAATATTTTTTTTTATAATTTTCATTTTATTTTAAAAGTTAATCGTACTGGTTTTGAGAAATTCTTCCATTTCCATTTCTTCGGAGCTAATTTTTTCAAATTACTTCTGAAAATAATACCATAGCCAAATTTTTAGATTTTAAATTAAAATTTAATTAAGAATTTAAATCAAAAATTTATTTATGAATATTTTTTGTGTACACTTGGAGAAAAGTATATTATTTTGAGTTAATTTATTTATTTTGTGTTTTTTGCAAATCAGGGTTCAATAATTTCCAGTACCTGAGATATGACAATTTCTCATGGGTGCATATTTCGTAAGAAAAAAATCTGAAATTTTTTCCTAAAACGATTTTTTTTATTTTACAAAAGAAGATCATAAAGATATATTTCAAACCTTTAATTTGATGGAAGAGGCCAGAAGAGATCTCTATGGTTAAAGAAATGTTCAATGCCAGCCTCGATAATAATATCAAATCATTTAGTAACTTTTTTTGACCATCAACATACAAGCTACTGATCATCAAAGATATAGTTTATATTGCATTTTAAATTTCTTTTTTAATTCAGTTCAATGCAATTTAAATAAAGACTCAGAATATAATAGGACTTAAAACAAACTTCTTTTAATTTTGACATATTCACTAAAATAAATTGATGTAAAGCTATTTTGTTAGATAATATTAACACTCTCTCTATTCACTCACTACATGTTTTTGAGTTCAGTTTTCACTTATGGTTAATTTATATTCTTTCGAATATTGATGAACTGAATTACATTGTTCACAATTACGACAAAACTTGAATACTGATAAAATAGTCAGTATTTTATATGCTATAAAAACAAAACAATTTTGTTATTGAAATTACTTAATGTTAACTATTACATCAGAAACAATTATTTACAATAATAATATTTTACTCACCTCGCTACTGATTTCAATCAATTTAATAATCTAATTGCTCTCACAAAACATAATATGGTATATAAAACTATGTACAGTTTAAAATTATAAATTCAAATATTTATTTGTGTGTAGTTTTCTCATATTTCGTGAATAATTGTGAATTCTTAAATAAAAACTAGGTCACTAGGTTAACATATGTGTGTGCATTCACAATAGTGAGAATTGCGAATGAACCTTTGTGAAATATGTCGATAAATGCAAATGGTAAAAACAGCTGAGGGAAAAACTTATTTATTATTATCAATTAGCATTAAAGTCAATCACGTTATCGATTTTCATAACCACAAAAAATGAACCATAAATATATTATTGAAGAACTAATGGAAAATGAAATAATATTAATGAAGTGTAGCAAACCATTAAATAAATCGAATGCGCCGTCATTTTATACACCAGGAGAAGGAGAAGGAGAGCTTATACTTCCCGAACAAAACGTGTATATTTCATAACACAAATAGAAATGATGAAAATTGGTTATCAAACAAATTCTAGCCGACTATCTCTTAAAAATTTCAGCAATTTCTGAACAATAAGACTAATCACACAGCCATGTGTTTTATATCTTCAAATTGATAACTTTGAAGATAAAGTTGCAAGAGATCTATAACATATTTTTGGGAAATTATCGAAGCGTCGGCTTAAGCAAGCAAAAAAAATATAACTTAATATTTTTGTTTATGTTATATAAAGCTAAATATCAAATAAAATATCCCAGAGAATGTTCAATTGAATCATTTCTAAAAAGTTTTAAAGGATAAATAATGTAAAATATCAACCTCAAGATTTTTGGACAAATTAGTCAAGATTAATACACGAATAGTGATTAATAATCATGATTGTTATTAAGTATGTAATCTTATTAATTGTAGAGATATGAGATATGATAAAAATATATTTCATAGATTGAAAGACGAACGAAAGATGATTGGCAACGTTGCCAAATTTCAAGGGAGGATTGTGTCGATAAGTTTTTCTACCAACACATATACCAGGTAAAAGTTAAGAAATATGACCTTCGGTAGTACTTTCCATTTAATACGTCTATAAAATCCGTTTGCATTTCTTAATTTAAATCAGTACTATATTAGTTCGTGTCTAAAAAGTGAAGAAAGTTCTGTTCTTTGATTTTTGATTATACTCCTAGTGTTGTTTTTAAAAACTTTATTAGAGGGTAAGACTTCTGAAAATGTTTTAAAAATTAAAGAAAACTATTCTATATTTTATGACAATATAATAATAATAATAATTACTTTAAAATTAATGAGTGAATAAATTTATTCAGATAGATTTTACTATTTCATTATATTAAAATAGTTTCTTTTGTGTACTGTGCTATATGCATAAAATATTTCAATATATATTCTTTGGATTGTATGCTCTAAAATGATAAAAAAAAAAACAATAAAAATGTCTAATATACCAATACACTACTACTTTTTTCTGAATCAATATATTTCCTCTTTCTTATATGCAACTTTTTGTTCTTCAAATTGATTTCCTTATTTCATTGTAATGTTTTCCATATATATTTATTTGATATTTCTTCTAGAAAATCTTGCAAAACAATAACTATTTACGTTATTAGTTAAACTCTCTTGGAATGAAATTTAATCATTTTATTCTATATTACTGTATACTTATAATAAGGTTCGTTTCTGCTGAAGAGAGATTTATATATCTGTTTCTTGGTTTTTTATAATACCCTTTTTCCCAGTTCCTGAACTTTTGTTAGGCTTCCCTCAAATTCGATTCTCCTATCTTGAGTTTTAATACTGCTTGCGAACCTATATTATGATATATTTAATGATGTTAAATGTTATTTACATTTTTTGTTTAAATTCACTTACATTCACAAAATACATTAATACAAATTTTTAATAATATATAAAACAGGATCTCCATTTCCAGCCATCTCCAAAAGAAGCTCCATATTTTTCAATCCAATCCGCTGCATGTTATTCCTTATTTAAGATAATGTTTTATTTTGTCGCCCCATTGACGTTCAGTCTTTCTATGTAGTAGATACCATAATTCTAAGGGTTACATAAAGTATGTCTCTTATAATCTGTTTTGTATACTTCTGATGCATTTTAGAAGTTCTCTGTACAATTATCTATACATAATATTTTTTTTTATAATTTTATTTTAAAAGTTAATCGTACTGGTTTTGAGAAATTCTTCCATTTCCATTTCTTCGGAGCTAATTTTTTCAAATTACTTCTGAAAATAATACCATAGCCAAATTTTTAGATTTTAAATTAAAATTTAATTAAGAATGTAAATCTAAAAAGAAATAGAAGTATTTTTTGTGTACACTTGGAAAAAAAATATTATTTTGATATTCGAAAGAATATAAATTAACCATAAGTGAAAACTGAACTCAAAAACTTGTAGTGAGTGAATAGAGAGAGTATTAATATTATCTAACAAAATAGCTTTACATCAATTTAGTTTAGCGAATATGTCAAAATCACTAATTGTTTCTTCGTTAGGTTAGGGAAATTCAATTTTTTTTTATTATCGGTTTAACTATTTTCACAACAATTTTAAATATTTCGAAAGAATATCCATTTTTGCATAAGAGCCCGCGCTTAATAGTGAAACTGATAATTTATGTTACTTACTGAAATTATTTTATAATAGTCTTTTAATATTCTGCTAAGAATCTCTGTTTCAATATTCTACGATAATTATTTAACTCAGATAATTTGTAAAACTGTTTAATCGTCTTGTACGTTCACCGGCATTGCAAAATATGTAAACAAGTATTGAAATCAAAATATATTTACAGCTGATATAAGCTGTCAAAATGCAATTCGCATACTTTTTTGAACTTTTTTGAACCATGGAAAAACCCATTTGGTTTAACTTTATTTTATAAACAATGATTAACCATATTTTGAACTCACGATTTTTTCAGTAAAAGTTTCATATATATACTCCTATTAATAACCCTGAAGAAAAAGGTAAAGAATATTGAAAAATTTGCAAATAAATAAACGAATTAAATTTTGTTTAAAGCGAAAATATATATGTTTTATAAAAGAGCGCTAAACCGAAACAGCGTCAAACGAATCAGCGTTAAGCGGGGTTTTATTGTACTTAATTCCTCCGTGCCTTTGTTTTCAGCTCAGCTGTTTTTTGTTTATATATTACTTAAAAAATATTATACATATTTCAAATTTTAGTAATTCCCCTTATGAGAAATTTTTTTTTAAATGATTTCAAATCTTTTTTTTAAATGAGCTGATTTATTGAGAATGAAATCATTTATATAAAAGCTCTATGTATGGTAAATCATTTTCATTCGTGCCTTTAATGAGGAAAACCACCTAAATGAGACAGTATTAATGTGCTTTAAAAGTTGTTGTTTTCAAACACCAAATGGAGTTGTAAAGCTTTATCTTCTTCAGTAAGTTCTTCAGTCAACAACAAATATTTTGAGGCCTTGTAAAAATATGGAAATTTGTGAAAGTGGCTGAATGGCTGAAAGTAAACAGTTACTGATGTGTTGTTACTTTTTGCTAATGTGTTACTGTGTACTCAAACTTTTGTTGTTAAATGTAAACAGTGACACTTTTTTTTTTTCATTTAAACACGAAAATGCAACACTGGTGCTCAGTCAGCTGTTGTCAACCGCTAATTATTGACAATAATCTATTCATTCAATTCAGGAGTGAAGTAATATACAGCGAAAGTTTATATAAATAAAATAGTTATGCTTCGATTAATATAATTAATCAATCGCCTTAATAAAACTGAGTTGAAACACCATTGAATTAACTACATTTAAAAGAATGAATGCTGGTGGGTGACGCTGAATTAGGAAAAATGATTTAATGTACTATATCTTGTAATTATTCATTTTCAATGCAAGTTAATAATGTTATTAAATTTAATTAACTTTAGAGTAATTAAAGTTATGAAAGTGAAAAATTAAAAAGCATTTAGATTTTCAGTGACATACTGTGTTCATACAAAAGTTGCCTACATGCCTACAGTAGGCAGTAAGTAAAAATTGATCATCAAAAATCTAAGTCAGTGTTATTCAAAATAAATCCAAAATGTGATTTCATGTTCTTGATTTAATACAAATTAGTACAAATTCTCATCATAATATTTTAAAATATAAAAGAACTTAACATTTTCAGATATATGGATAACTCGCAGGATGTGTCTTGAAGAAGAGTGAAAATTTTAGCATATACAGGTCAGCTTTCTCACAGCTTTCTCACTGTTCACATTGACCAATAAGGCCTTTAAAACTGCATATTGGAAGCTTCTGATCAACTAAGACCTTAATTGATAACACGTATTTCTTTTATCATATATCATATTTGTTGGTTTAATGAATATTTCATTGAATTTATATATTTTTGTTTATAGCACAATATGTATGCAGGAACCATTATTTTTAACACATCAATGCAAAGGCTAACGACTAGAACTTGGAAGGAATCGTTTTATATTTATTTAAAGTGTAAGTAATAATGAGAATTAATTAATTAATAATCTGATTAATCATTGAAGAATATATGAATTGACTTTGAATAAATGTGTGTGTTCAATATATGCCAGTTGTTAGCTAAGGATCTGTTCAGAGCTGTGTAGTTCATTTGTTATAATTTAGTTTTAATTTTGCAGTCATTTAGTTGTCATATAGATGAAATTCAAACAGTTGCTTTAATAACAGCGCTCAATAACTAATATAATGTTTAAAGATGGTTGATATAATATATAATTTAGATTGGTATAAATTTGAAAATTTGCTTCTAAGCCCCTCAATGGGATTTATAATGTTATTGTTGGTAAGCTAAATAATCGGTTGATCATTTTTATTAAGTTGTATACGTTGACCTGATAATATTTTCAATTATGTATTTCGTAATATTTTCGAAGTATACGAAATGTATAGAGATATATATATATACATCTATGCGTATATATTTTATGTCATAAAAATAAAAGGTTTGGAAGCATCACTTGTAATCTTAAAACATGTGTAACATGAACCGTTTTTACGATTCTGTAATACGATTCTGTCGTAAGTAAATCGTTGGAATATGCTCTGCATGCATATTCCATTTTTTTTGTTTTATAAATAGTTCTGTCTATCCACAGAATTTTTGGAAGAGAACTCTGAACGTTTCTTTATATACGATGGTATTATTATTTACTTGCATTTATGTATTCATTTGTTTGTTGCTTATAGACTATCATTTATTGTTATTTTAACATATTTAGTTTTGTCAATTAGAGAACCCTGATTTGTGAAATTGCCAGTTACACATCTATTGTACCCATCAATTGGTATACTTTGTCTTATTGGATTACCATTTTGCTTAGATATGTTGATATTTAGATGTATCTTTTACTTTTGATGTGTTACATATACTCACATATTCGTCTCGTAAATGTTTTATATACGAGTTTTGTAAAAATGTTATTTATAATATATAAATACTGTATATATAATACCACATATATAATATATGGTATTTATAATATATGGAATGTATATTATATATTTGAAAAAAAATCAAAAGAATTCTTCATAAAAATTAGAAATAATTTGCTTAATTGAAATGTGATAATTGTTATTCTACTTTGCTTTAATGAAATAGTTTCTCATAAAAAATTGCTACAACGTCTACAATATATTTAACTTATTTAAATCAAATATACGAACATTGTCTTCTACGGAAAGAAAATAATTACAAAATTTCTAATAATAAATTATTTTATTTGAATATATTAATGCTGTTTTCAGCAAGAAATAAAATTAGTAACAAAAGGCCTAATTTATAATAATAATTTATGTTATTCAAATATACGAATACTGCTTAATGTCTGGAACAACACTACGGGTCAGGCAACAGTTTGAAATGTCTTGAATGACTGCTGAACTATTTATCTCTTATGACTCTTACCCTGAATCGTAATGCGAGAGGTTAATCAACTAATCAGGGCTTATCTCGTCCATTTCCTAGAATTCTACAACCAAAACTTGTACCAATAATCAAGCAAAGCAAATTTGATTAAATTAAAATCATAAAGGAAATTTCTGATTCTACTGTCTGCATTCTAATGCAAAAATCTTAAACTTTATAGCAGCGACACAAACCGATTTTCTAAGCCAATTTAATATTATATATCCGAGATGTACATAGATGCAAGGTCTCGTACTTGTATGTATGTGAAAATAGTTATGTGTTCAGTTTTTTGGCCAATTTGTGAGTATGTTTTTGGAAAAATGAAAAATGTGTTCGATACGTGACAACGATAAATGATTTGAATTTAAAACTCATTTCGAAAATTGTTTACAAAAAACGTGTACAAACGAATTGCAAACTCAACCTCTGCAGCCAATCTGTACGCCGAGCCAGACCAAGGCAAGTCAACCAGCGGTGGTTGATGGGACCTCATACCAATTCGACTTCTTTATCAGTCTATGCCTGGTAAGCAAATAGAGCGGTCCGCAGTAAGGCAATCTAAGGCACGCGACTGACTGAGTTCGCGTTGTTAAATTCTGCAGTGCCTGGTTTGCAGTGCCATGCAATTGTTGTCGATATTATGTTTAATGTCCTCTCGTATTCGCCATATAGAATACAATTGAAATTCCACTAAAACCAACTATGATTGCATAAAATATCACGTATTTTAACATCTGCATATTTTTTGGGTTTTTGCCAGGAATACAACAAGAAGAAGAAGAAGACGTATTCATAAAGCTGCAACAACAAGAATAATATGACAAAAATGTCAAATGGCATTTCATCCACAATTCATGCATTACTCGATTCTTTACAATTTTATTCATTTATATTTTTCCATAAAATTGTAACTTTCTTTGGTTAAAGCCACCATAAGAAACTTCAAAACTTAGACTATAATAGACTATAATATATTATATATAAATAAATCTTAAGTGATTGCACATCCAGTCAAACTCAGCTCTATTGTTTTTAAAGTCACATATCTTTTTAATAGTTCGGAAAAACCTACAAATCTGAAACCAACTAATCGTTGCTTGTAGCCATCATATTTATGGGCTCAGCCAAAGATGATCCTCTCTTCTGTAAAAGTGTACCTCATGTTGTTTTTAACAATAAAGTATTTGTGGAGGAATGATTGGCAGCACTATAGTGGCCCTAACCGGTAAATTAAATGACAGTAAAATTAATTTTAAATTAATTTTATTAATAATAGAATACAAATATTCAGCAGTATTTTATTAATTATTTCAATGGAATGGAAATAATAATAAATAAAATTTTTTTTTCGCACTGCTGATTCTGGGGAAGTTGCTTATTACTTAAGCTTATGTTCTTAATGCTTAAAGAAATGTTTTTAAATTTTTCTTTCATCTCATCACTTGTGATGATCATCGTTATTATGATAAACCAAATAAGCAATTTTTTCAACTGGAAGCTAAATTACTGGTTTTCCCTTTAATGGGCTATTATAACAAAAGCAACCATTATCTGCAGATTCATAACGAAGAACGTTATTGGTATGATCTTAGTGTAACCTCTGCTAGATTATATTATTGACTTATTCAATATTAGCTGTGTTTCAGTCAACAGTGATCTGGTTCTTTGCAGCTGAAATAAAAGTAATTGGTGATGCATCATATTTGTCTGTTGCTTATTTATTTACAAAAGGCTGGCTTACTTTTTTACTTACGAATGCACAACCTCTTCCTGCACCACATCAGATCAAAAAGTTTTGATCGTTACTTACTGTCAACCTCAATTTTCACATTGAATCAGAATCTGATTTAGATCAATGTCTGCCTCACCAGATTATTATTGCTTCACCTGCGATCACAAACTGATAGTGCTACTATTGAAACTGTTCTAAACTTTTCTAAAATAATTAAGTTTTCGTTATCTAATCCATAAGGTGTACATTCATAAATGACTTAATATGCATACGCAAATCAATTACTTTTTCAGGCTACGATTCCTAATATCCACTCTTCAGCGTTTTCAACATGAGGTCTATTACCATAAGAGGAAGTGAAATCTCTGTTAATTTGTTTTTGAAGCTTGTCCCAAACAAAAGTTTAAAATGTGTATTAAATCTTAAATACTTAGTATGTTAGCAGATTGCAAAAAATATTAACTTAATATATTTAATTGGAAATTGCCTCAATTCACTTATGAGGACCTGACAAAAATATGAAATCATAGCAGCGGAATTGCACACAACTTCAAATGCATATGCGCTGGTATATCCTTAACAAGGCTAATTATCATTTCATTATAACCATTAGCTGCCATAATATTGGTTAGCGCTGATTTTAAGGTGATAAAGCAACAGGACTCACGCGATAAGCTGAAATAATTATATGAAAATATTTGAATAGAGTGTAAAAATGTTTGCCATGCATACTCTGTGTGTTGTGCGGTACACTATGTACTCTAAATACGCACATAGTAGTCCTTAAGCATGCAGGTAGTGTTAAGTAGCGAATGTGCAATCGTATTCAATTCCTGTTTCTGGCTCTGTGTCCGCATGCAAAACTCAGATAATGCCAAATATTGCGTTTAACCACATTTGAATCATGCTTACCGGTAGACAAATTTAATATGTGGCCATGCCAGCCAAGCGCTTTAGCACACAAATTCGTTTGTATGCTTATATGGCTGTATCTATATCTATATCTGTATCTGTATCTATATCTATATAGCTTGCATGTGTGTAATTATATTTTGTTGATATTTTTGCACATGCGAACTTCCATTAGGTACGTACGTTAGGTGTTGCACAATCCATTAGTAATTCCGCTAACGTTAATTGCTAATATTTACGGTCTAAAACGTTTTCTCTTTAATGATTTGAATGGGAGTTAGACACCTAAAGTTTTAATTATTATGGAAAAATGATATGCTCTAATGATGTCGAAATTGCGGAATTGTGTGATAAAATTAGGAAAACTCAAACGAAAGTAATTTTTGTTTTATCCGAAAGCACGTAACGGAGCTGTTAACACAGATTTAACGTCAAATTGAATCTTATTACTAAAATAAGAGACTTCGTCTCCATGGGTGGGTATTTCCTTTAATGCATAATAATAAAACTAATAGGAATATAATTATTCAATTAATTATACATATTTATAAAATTAAGAGGAACTTAATTTTTTAATTAATTATAGTTTTTAATATCCACAATACTTATGTTTGCTTCGAACATGCGACTTCCAATTACTGAAATGGATTGCGAATTTACTTATAAATCTATAAGACCGTGTATTCCAAGAAAACTAAATATATAATCAACATAAGATGTTTTGATCTAAGAATAGTGGTAGCTCTTTATTGTTTACAATGGGAAAGAAGAGTGAGAGAACCGATTGCCTTAAATCAAACCGTTGAGGAATATGTAAGGGAAGTATAATGAATCAAGCTAATAAATGTCGCCCTAACGTAGCGAGACGAATAAAATCTTAAATAGATTACAACTAGGCAAGTA